CTATACTCCCGGTAGCACCTCACAGCATCTAACAAATATCTGTTACCATCTCCCACTAAGAGATCAGCTCCCTAAAGGCAGGGACTTCTCTTTCTCAGGGCCCGGCAACCAGCAGATGTTTGATACATTTTTGCCAAACAAACCAGGAAAACCTGAGCCAGTGGGGCAGGACCGCCTTGGACACTGGCAGACCTGCATCTCTTGGCCCTGAGCAAGAATCCAAGCCATGGGCAGCGTTAGGGATCCAGGCCCATGTACACATCAGCCCACGCAGGCTAGCGCCTGAGCAGGGGCCAGCGCAGTCCAGTCCTGCTCCTGGAGAGCCCCTTTGGTGTACACACCTCAGGGCGGGGCACACAGGTAGGACATTCCAGCGCTTCTCTCGGCCGACATGGCTGAGATCCCAGGGCACCTGAACAGAGCTCCTCTGTACCGCCTCCAGCCTCGGTTCCCTCTCTCCTGAACAGAACGGTGTCATCTGCTCGTCTGCATCCTGCCTGGTCACACTCCACGGGGCTGGACCAGAAGGGATCCTGGAAGACGATGCTGGGGAGAGCCTGGGTACAGGAGAACTCGACCCCGTGACCAAAGCAGCCCCAGAAAGTGGTGCCAAAGCGTTTCATCCTCAGTGCCAGTGGACAACATGCCCGGATGCTCAGGGCGGAGAGGAGAACCAGTTCATTGAGGCCTGCAGAGAATGTCTAGCACCACCGAGGGCAGAGCAAGCTGGACCACTCTCCCAGCCAAGCTTTGACAGCAACTATCTGGGCGAGTTGAGGCTCTAAGGTGGACTGTGTCAGCCAATGGACCTGGGAAGGATTTCCTTAACCCTGTAGCAATAAAATCAATAGCATCTCGGAATTATCTAAGCCACTTAAGCAGTACCACATGCTCCACATCGGGGATCCTGGGGTAACATCGGCTGGGCGTCCCCCATTCCTCGGTACAGATGTGGTTGGGTTGCTGGGTTCCTTTTCTCCCCACTTTGCCCAAATACAGGAAGGAAAAAGGAGACCAGAGGCAACTGTCCCATCCACTTTCCCCATTCCTTGACCCCTCCTGCCCTACTCGGTGCTCCACATAGGCATGCATCCCTCTCAACTGTGTAAACATCATCAAAAATAAACTGAATTTATTATCAAAACAAAAACAAAAAAACACTGTCTTACAGGGTGAGAAGCGTTCCCCACCCCCTCCACACAGGATCTTCCTAGGCGCGCGTGCTGCTCGCTCTCCTCTGCTCTGGCACATGTATGTGTGAGTCACTCTCCACATTCACCCCGGGCTCGGATCAGCTCCCAAAATGCCGGGTGACTTCATTTCCCCCGAGAGAAGAGGGCTGGCTTCCCAGCTACTGCTCTGAGGGTTAGGAAACGTCTGGCTCAGGTTTTTTTCTAGGCTGACCCGAGCCTGCCAACTAGACATCAACAATCCACTTCTGATCACATGGCCCTCCCTGCAGCCTTATTCCTTGCTTCCCACTTTTTCTCAGAGGCCACTCTGTGATGCCACCAAATCCCACGGGAGAGGTGATGACCACAAAGAGGAGGCCCACGTCGAGCACGCTGATGGGCGCTGCTGTCTATACTCTGTCAACTGGAACAAACCCACGAGGGCCACCATCTCCTCATCCCCCAAGCGCTGTCCTCCACAGCCTAACACCTTGTCCCTCAGTGCATGCTTTTCACTCGCTCTTCCAGCCTGCTCCAACAGAGGACAGACAGAACCACAGGCCCAAAGCCTCCTAGACATCCCTGCTTAACGAGCCCAGCTCGGCTCTCTTCCGGGAAGCACATGCTAGGCACAAACTTTCAACCAAGCTTCAGAAGTGCAAGGACCAAGTGTTGCCTCTATGGAGAAAGAAATAATAAAGGGAAAAGGTTTTTCTTCTTTTTCCTTCCTGCAACCGATCTAGAAATCACACAGAGACTTACATGCATTTCCAAAATCAATAGCAAACAGAAATAGCAGCACATGTATTCCCTAATGCTATATACTTCGAGGTCCACAAATGGACAGGCGTGGTCTGGCCCATGCTGGGAACAAATTCTCAAATCCAGGTAACACATTCATAAGCCCCACCCAAGGAAACACCCCAAACAGGCCACCCTGACACGTCCCTAAGAAAGTCAATGAGGTTTGGATGAGACCACGTAACCCTTGTACAGTCCACACCCCTAAACTTTCTAATGTGCTGCACACGCTTCAGTGCAACACGTCTCTGTGGTTTTCACTCCGTGTTCACTGTCCATCACTGTCCACTGTCAACTTATCAACCCATGGGAGCCCAGGCTGAGTCCCGGCTGCTCCACTTCTGCCCCAGCTCCCTGCTAATGCACCTGGGAAAGCAGCAGAGGACGGCCCGAGTGCTTGGGCTCCTGCCACCCACGCAGGAGATCCGGACGCAATTCCAGGTTCCTGACTTCTGCCTGGCCATTCTGGTCATCTGAGGAGTAAATTAGCAGGTAGAAGATATTTCTCTCTCTGTAACTCTGATTTTCAAATATAAAACAAATCTTAAAAAAGAAAAGAAAAAAAAGTAAAAACAAAAAACCTGCTGCATTTCTCTCATAGAAATGAAGGTGAATTAGGTCTGGAAGTATGCTGAGCCCAAGCCAATACTGGCAGGCTGGCTGGTTGGCTGAAGCCATCTTAAAATGTTTTTATTAGGACACTAGTTGGGCAATACTCGGTGAAAGTAAGCTTGGGAATTAACTGCTCACACATTTACAGCAAAGCACTGTTTGTTGCTTGGTGCCAGGGACCCTGCAACTTCTCCAAAAGGCTGCTGTGAACCACAGAAAGAATCCAGAAGTCCAAGGCTGGGGCCGACACTGTGTCACAGCCTGCAGCATCGGCATCCCATACAGGCACCAGTTTTTGAGACTTGCTCTATTTCCAATCTAGATCCTGGCTGGCACATCTACGAAAAAGCAGCAGAGGATAGCCCAAGTGCTCGGGCCCCTGCACCCACCAGGAGACCCAGAGCAATCTGGCCTGCTGCAGCCACTGGGGAGTCGGCTAGCAGATGAAGGATCTCTACCTCTCTATAACTCCAAAATAAATCATTTTAAAAAATGAGGGGGAGGGGGGCCAGCATGGTAGCTTAGTGGCTAAAGTCCTCACCTTGCATGCGCCAGGATTCCATACAATTGGTGATTCATGTCCTGGCTGCTCCACTTCCCATCCAGCTCCCTGCTTGTGGCCTGGGAAAGCAGTTGAAGATGGCCCAAGGCCTTGGGACCCTGCACCTGTGTGGGAGACCTGGAAGAAACTCCTGGCTCCCAGCTTCAGTTTGGCTCAGCTCCAACCTGGGAGGCCATTTAGGCAGTGTATCAGTGGATAGAAGATCTTTCTGTCTCTCCTTCTTTCTGTAAATCTGATTTTCCAATAAAAATAAGTCTTTGGAAAAAAAAAAAAAGGAATACGCCAACATTCCAACACTATCTCACCTGCCAATTCCCATAAAGTTCTTCTACCAAGATATTTGACAAAATCCTCTAGAAGTTTCTCTCCCTGCATTCGCAGGACTCCAGGACCCCAAACACTAACAAAGCTGACCTCTGTGTGCTGCCTACAGTGACGCCAAAGTTCTCCTGGGGCTAGCTGTCCCCGCCAAGCAGTCAGGTGACAACTGGGTCATGAACAAATGCTACATGGGTCTCCTTAGCAGAGGCTGTGCCTTCAGCAGCCCAGCTCTAGGGTCAGTCACTTCTTCCTGTAGTCACTTTAAATCACAAGAGTTCAGCCAGCCAGAAACTAGAAAACTTGCCAAGCACCCAATTCCAACAGGTGTTAAAACCTGTCAGAAGCTAGGGGAACAATGACATCACCGGCCCAACTGACAGGTCTACCAGCTTCACCCCCTTCCTAACACCCAAGAATGTCAAAGGCACTGCTGTGAGGCGCACCACTGCAGACAATGGGTTTCTTTGTTAGTTATCAAAAAGGACTGCTCTGCTGTGAAACAGCTCCTCAGCTCCACCTTCTAGCCCTAAAAACTCAGCCTGTCTCGAGCCTACAACACTTGCATCCCTTGAAGGTGCTGGATCAGGTCCCAGCGGCTTCACTTCTAATCCAGTTCCTCTGCTCCCGGGAAGGCAGCAGGAAAAAAAAAAATGGCCCAAGTCCTTGGGAGTTGAAGCTCCTGGCTCCAGCACTGGCCGGGGGCAGGCTGTCATGGCCAGGGCACAATCAGTTGATGGAAGATTCTCCTACTCCAGCCTTTCAAACAGATAAGCCCTGCTCTAAGGGGTCACCGGGCCAGTTCCTGATCTAAAGCACATCTACCGGCCCACGCCTTTCTCCAAGAACCTCGAGGGTCTAAACAAGGCAGGATCTCTGAATCAAAAATCAAAGAATGCCACCAGGACAGATCACCTGGTTGCCCACCACAGTCTCTTTGGAGCCGCAAGAAGTGCGGGGGCGCAGCTGAGCCCCAGCAGGCACCCTTGGGGCGAAAGTGGGGCGCACGAAGAATCCACTTTTATTTCTGGGATGGTGGGTGTTCTCTCTCCCCGCCCCCATACACATCAGCCAATTCTCAAACTTGTCCTCCTCCTGCCTGGGATGGCAGATCCACGCTCCGGGGCCAGAGGACACCACCCCGACCCCCGACCCCAGACCAGGACACGACGGTCACTAAGTCGTGTCGCAGGAGGGCCCCCCCATCCCCTCCGGCTCCGAGTGGGCTGCCAGGCTCGCCCCAGGTGCCCAAGGCTCTCGCCAGTCCCCGGAAGCGGCCGCCCTCCCGCCCAGCGGGCTCCGAGGGGGCGGGGAGTCGAACGCCCCCTTCCGGGTGCCTCCGCCCGGGCTGGCCAGCCCCGCTCCTCCTCCGGGCGGGAATCCTCCCTCCCCCGCCCCTCCCGCAGCCGGGCCCCGACGCCAGGCCCGGCCCCAGGGGGGCGCCCCCGCCGCCGACTCCCCGTCCCCGCGGCCTCTGCCCGTCTTCCCGACCCTTGGGGGCCGGAAAGACCCCGCCGGCAGCGGCCAGGACCCACCGCTCATTACGACATCTTCCTCCCTGGCCTCCGCCGCCTCCGCCGCCACCGAGAGCCTGACACCGCCCGCCTAGAGCCCGCCAATCCCGGAGCCCGCCACCGCCCGAGCGACGGCAGCGCCCACCAGTAAGCGTTGGGTTCATTGGGGACCGACAGCACGACGAGCCAATCTCCGAGACGCATCTAGAGCGACGTTGGTTTGGCCAATAGCGCTGTGGAGTGTCACTGACGGACGGTAGCGCGCACCAACCGGAAACCTAAGGCAGAATGAACGACGTGTTCCTCGGCCAATTGGCGGGAAGTAAAGTCCCGCCTACTGGCTCGTTGATGGACAGCAACGGGAAGCTGGGTAGGGTGGGGCTTAGCTGAAGAATGTTCCTGTATTGGTCGTGGTTGACCTTCCACCCACCTCTAACCCAGAAAGATGAGTGATCGATCTGCCCTAAAGCCAATCACAAGTCCTTAGGGTGAGGCCCTATAAATAGCATATGCATTTCGCCTTCAGCCCAGTCTCGCCCAGGTGTGGCAGGGCTTCCTCCTGCTCTCCTGCTGCCGGCGCCCACTCAGCCCCAGGCCGGGGGAGTGGAAGAGCCGCCAATCGTCCCTTCAGTGCCTCGTCGCCTGGGGACAGGCTCCTTGGAACAGCTAGGCTATCTGGCGCCCGCCATGGAGCTGCGGGACATTCCTGAAGGGATTTTTCCAACAGTCCAAGCCCCGGGCTAATCTTCACCAGGACCTCGTCCCCGCCATCCCTGTAGACACGGGGCTGGGGAGTCTGGAAGCATTCCCGGGGCTGCCGGCCCTGCTCCGTTCTGCCTGCCTTTGAAGAGTGCCTGGGGTGGGGAGCAGGACCTGGGCTATGCCCGCTGACCTCCTGGGTGTGTGGGCGCGCCCGGTGGGCACTGTGCAGGTGGGCTTCTGGGGACCTGTGCGTGCGTTACCGAGTGAGAGCCGGGGTTGGAAACCCACCACCCACCCCGCTCTCCCTGGCTCCCACCCACACCCTGGGAGAGAAGTATGTGTCGCACCCTTTCGTACTGGCACAACAGCCCCTGCACTAAGACACATTTTCTTTGCCATTCTACACATTTCTATTCTGCCCTGCCTTTTTTTCATCGTAATTGTCAGGGTGGACAGCATAGCCAGAAAGGGGCAGTATGTTAAAATCAAACCCTGAGCAGAAGGCCTAATACCCAGTAACTGATGAATAAATGTGTGTTTTAAAGATTTGAAAGAGAGAGCTTCCATCTGCTGGGTTCACTCCCCACTCAATTTTCTTTGAGTGGACTCAGCTGAAGCCAGGAGCCAGCTTATGTCAGGTCTCCCACACAGGGGTCCAAGGACTTACACATCCTCAACTGCTGTGTTAGCGAGGAGTCTGATCAGAAGTGGAGCAGCCAGGAGCCAAGCTGGTGCCCACGCGGGATGCTGGGGCTGCAAGCCACTTCTAACTCCCCTGCTGTGTCAGCACAGTTCCTGGGAATAAATGTTGATCTTCCAGGGCCAGTGCTGTGGCTCAACTGGCTAATCCTCTACCTGTTAGCACCTTATGGGCGCTGGTTCATATCCCGGCTACTCTACTTCCCATTCAGCTCCCTGCTTGTATCCTGGGAAAGCAGTGGAGGACAGTGCAAAGCCTTGGGTCCCTGCACGGAGACTAGGAAGAAGCTCCTGGCTCCTAGTTTTGGATCTGCTTAGCTCTGGTGGTTGTGGCCACATGGGGAATGAACCAGTGGGTGGAAGATCTTCTTCTCTGTCTCTCCTTTTCTCTGTATATCTGACTTTCCAATAAAAATAAATGAATCTTTTAAGTACTCTCTCTCCTTGTCCACCATCTTGACCTTTGACCAGATGTGAGGCGGTATCATTCGTGCAGAGCAGATCCTCCGCCCTGCCGGCCAGTGCCTGGCTCCTGTCAGTCTGTGCACGTGGTGTGGTTTCAGCCTTTTCTCCCCCTTCTTCCACTCCGTTCCCTTCCCACAGATTTGCCCTCCAGGAAAGACTAGCCAGTCCCTGAAGCCCCAGGTTCTCTCCACTCATTCCTGCACCACCACACCCTTACTGAACTCGGAGGCACCCTCCCTTTCAGACCCTGCCCAGAAGCCACATAACCTTGTTCCCACCTGGCTGGAGAGTTCTGCCGCCCTGGGCGGTTCTTGCCACGTGCGGAAAACTTCCATCACACTGTTCTTCACGCTCCCGTTTTCACTACTGACTCCTGCCAGTGTGGGAGCTGCGGTAGAAGCTGAGGCCAATGACCAGTGTTGCGATGTGGCCTGTGACGCCGACATCCTATGTGGGCACTGGTTTGTGTCCCAGCTGTTTTACTTCCAATCCAGCTCCCTCCCTGCTAATGGCAGCTGGCATAAGCTGGCATAAGCTCAAGTCCTCGGGCCCCTGTACTCACGCAGGAGACTCTGAGCAGGAGACTCTGAAGAAGCTCCTGGCTCTGGCCTGACCCAGCACTGGCCATTGTGGCCACGTAGGGAGTGAACCAGCAGATGGATTCCAGTGGATGGAATCTCTTTCTCTTTGTGCAATTCTTTCAAAATAAATACATAAATCTTTTTTGGAAAAAAAAAAAAAAAACCAGAAGAATTGAGGCCAGTGTGGGGAGGATGGTTAGGAAAGTATGCAGAGTTAAAGAATGAAGATTTGCATATATTACATCTGCACGTGGTTGGGAACATACATTCTGTTCCCAGGCCAGCTTTCCAGTTCAGATTGCCTCACCGCCTCGGCCAGCTGGACTCCACCCAGCCTCAGTGACTCAGCCCTGCTGGTGTGCAGGGGTGCTAGGGCAGGTTGGGGGAGGCATCCTGCTGGGCCACTGCCAGGCCTCCTCGGGGGACAGAAGCTGGAAGAAACCAGGCTGCTGCTTCCCTCCAGGCTGTGGCACCAGACCCTGGATGTGTAAGCGAGAGCGTGCGTACATGTGGAGGCTCCAAGGAGGTGGTACCCCCATACCCAGTATGGACCAGCCAGGGCCCGGACACCACCACACTCTCATCTTCCAAGATGGCCCCATTGGTCTCAGCAGACATCGAGGCCAGACTGAACATCCGCTGTGTCCCTGGCCATGCTTGTGACTTGAGAACTTGTAGTTCGTTCCAAAGTCTGCCTTGCAGCCATGGGAAATCAGGGTCTCAGGGAGGGGAGGACTCCCCGCACTCATTCCCACACGCCCCCTTCTGATCGCTGGGTCCCCTACCTGCTGGGTCCTCCTGCAGTCAGGGCTGTGGGTGCTTCCAGCCGGATCCCTGCTGTGGCCAGGTGTGCCCCGCTTCTCTCCCATGCCGGTCCTTCTGCGCTGTCGCTGCTCTGTGTCCTGTGCCAACTCTGGTCTGCAGAGCCCCTCATTTCTGCCACTCGCCCTTCCTCTCTGTGTTTGCCTCACCCACCCTTACAGCAGCTGCACAACGGGCTTGTTGAGTAACTAAGTGACCGACTCCTCTGAAAGCCACTCACAGTCCTACCGCCTGCTCAGGCCTTCTTACCCACTGCCCTGACTCCATTTATCTCCCTGCCCATGTCCTGTCCTCTTCAGCAGGTGGCTGACCCCCTCTACCCCCTGGGGGTGAGCATGAGGGTCTCTCCCACTGGGGTGCTGAGGGCACCGGAGAGAGAAGGAAGTGGAAACCCAGAGCCATCGTCTCTGGGGTTTCCTGGGGGAGGAACCGCAAGGCGCTGCTGGTGCTGTCGGGGCCGCCACTGCCAGGCCAGCCCTGACCGCGGCGCCCCTTGCTTCTGGCGGCCACCCAGGCCGCCTGGCAGACAGGCTGGGAAGACTGTAGGTCACCCCCCTAGCCTCTGCCAACACCCCTCCCCCCCAACGATTTTCTGCCTCCTCGTCTGTCTCTTTGCTTCCCACCCACGGGCATGTCAGGGTCACAGACTTCAGCAAAGCATCCCTGACTGTTACAAAGAAGAACCAGAGAATGAGGACGCTGTGGGGACAGCCACCCGAAGAGGTGAGTCCATCCACAGTCCAGCTCAGCCCCCCTCGGCTGTGAGTGTAAAGCACGAGGGAAGACCAGCAGACACATCTCCTTGGCACTCCCTAGTACCAGGGCACATCACTGCCCTCCACCCCCTGTCCCCACCCTCCACTGCCCAGGGAACTGGGTCCTGAGCCACAGCTTGGCTCACCAACTCCTCTGCCCCTGGTGCCCAGCCCAGCCCAAAGCAGTAGTGGCTGTCCACCAACTGCCATGGAATCTTCCAGCACGACATTCCCCCTATCCTTCCCCCTCACAGTGTTCTCATTTCTTCCCTGGTTCTCCCTATCCCAGTTCCCTTGGGCTGAGGCTTGTGAGCCTAGGGAAAATGAGGCTGCAGGGGTGAAGGCACAGCTGTCTCTTCAGCTATCCTGGGCTCCACCAGGGGGCGCCCACGGCATTCCCAGAAGCAGCTGCCCAACGTTTTCACCACACTGTTCAGACCTGCTGAAGTGGAGGTTCCTTTACCAAGCAAGTGCCTGCTGTGGTCCGGGCCTGTTCACCGCTTCCTCTGTGGATGGCGCATACCTTCAGGTCTCTGCAGGGTGACTCCTTGCCATTGCAGGGACTACCTTCTGGCCCAGGACTTCAGCCACCTCTTCAAATATCTGCAGCGCACATCTGAGAGCCTGGAGCCAGTCCCACCTTCACTTCTTATTCCAGCTTCCTGTTAACGCAGCCTGGGAGGCAGCCAGCAGTGGCTCAAGTACTCAGGTCCCTGACACCGATGTGAGAGAACCAATTTTGAGTTCCAAGCTCATGGCTTTAGTCTGGCCCAGCCCCAGCTATTGGGCATTTAGAGAATGAACTAGTAGTTAGATTTCCCTCTCTGCCTCACAAATGAAATTAAAGATTGGGTCTGGCATGATGGCTCAATGGCTAAATCTTCACCTTGCACAAGTTGGGATCCCATATGAGTGGTAGTTTGTGTTCAGGCTGTTCCACTTCCCATCCAGCTCCCTGCTTGTGGCCTGGGAAAGCAGACGAGGATGGCCCAAAGCCTTGGGACCCTGCACCTGCATGGGAAAGCTGGAAGAAGCTCCTAGCTCCTGGCCTTCGACTGGCTCAGCTCTGACCATTGTGGCCACTTGAGGAGTCAACCAGTGGATGGAAGATCTTTCTGTCTCTCCTCCTCTCTGTAAATCTGCCTTTCCAATATAAATAAAATGAATCTTTTTTTTAATTTAAGAATTTTTTAAAATTAAAGCTTAAAGATACCTGATCTAGAATGCCTGCATCCCCATGTCAGAACGTGTGGGGTTTAGTTCTGCCTCTGCTTCTGATCCAGCTCCCTGCTAATGTGCCTGGGAGGCAGCAAACGAAGCCCTGGCCGGCCAATCAGGGAGGGAGACCTGGTTCCTGGCCTCCATCTAGTTCCCATTCAGTCTAGGTCTGCCTTTCCAATGGCTGCAGGGCCCCAAATACTTGGGCCATCCTTTGTTGTGTGTCCCAGGCATTAGCAGGGAGCTGGATAGGAAGTTGGAGCAGCCAGGATACGAACTAGTTCTTACTACTCCAAGACACCAGCCTCTAAATAAACTTTTTTTTTTAAAGATTTATTTATTTTTATTGGAAAGTCAGATATACAGAGAGGAGGAGAGACAAAGAGGAAGATCTTCTGTCCGATGATTCATTCCCCAAGTGAGCGCAACGGCCGATGCTATGCCAATCTGAAGCCAGGA